TGGACAGTAAAGAACACAATTCCATACAGGATGGTTTTAACGGGGAAGCACATAGTCAGGGTCCCGTTGATCTCCAGCTTCCAGACACCTCTGCTTACAGTTAGAAATGAGTGACACCAGAGCCTTTATCAACTCATCACAGTCATCAGATGACTCATCACAGTTATCACTACCATCACTGAGATGATGGTGGTGATGAACATCTGCATCTTTACTGCAATTTTTCACCTCTTTCATAGCCAGAGATTTTAGTTTCACAGGCAGGCAAGTTTCATGATATGGATGAAACTACCAGAAAGCAGAGGCCAGTAAGACACTAATACTGTTCTCAACTCGACCATCAGGGGCTAGCTGAAGAGAAAGTTGCCCAGGATATAACGCCAGAAGAACTGGCAGCGAAGCCCAGATCAAGTATGCCACAGGTTGTGACAGGACAGTTCAACTGTAGAAAATTAATACAATCAAGAAGTTGAGGTTGTAGATGGAGAAAAGTAGGACCTAGGAGAAGTTGGACATCATCATCCTAGGCACACAGTTGACAGGAGCATCATGATGCCCACTCAGCTCCAACACCTGTAGCTCAGACAGAGGTATGCTCTGTTCCATGCCTTCCCACTCAAACTAGTTAAACATTTTCAGAAAAAGGCTTTTCAGCAATTCTAGGATAGGAAAAAAAGTATTATGTTAAAAACAAAAACGTTCATTGGAAGGAACTAAATGAATCAGATCATGTCATATTCTTTTAAAACAAGGATTCCAGAAATAGAACTGACTAAACTTTATACAAGTTTTAAACTATTTATTCCTACCTTGTAACGACAATTGATTTCCAGCTCTTGCTGTCAGCACCTTCAAGCTGTGGACCTCTACTTTCTGCAAACTGCAATCTCTTACCGGTCTCTTCTAGTTGAACTGTCATCTTCTCATTTAATATCTCTAAGTTATTCTTGGCTATCCGTAATTTCTCTGCAGCTTCAGTTTCCTATCATTAAAAACTAATTATGACATAGCATACTACTGTTCTCATAGATGCAATATACTCAAAATTACTATTGCAAATTAAAAAACAAAAACCCTGGAGTTCTAAATGCAGATTAAAATTTCAATAAAAATGCAATGTTTCCTTCACTCTAAAAGAGCAATATGGTTGTGATAATTAGAACAAGACATCATGTAAATGAAGTTGGAAAAATAATTTACAGACTTTTTACATTAGTGGTTACTTTAATCCATATTTATCATTTTGTTTTTCTCTGTAAAATTTTAATAATGGGATATTATTCTGTCTTCACACATTTAAAAGATGCATTGTTTTGATTTCCCAATACTTGACTTAGCTGTAAGCATAAACTATGTTCAAGTAACAGAGATTACTTTCAGTCTTTAACATTCACATTCAATGCATAGTATCACTACAGCTTCATGATACTTTCAGATACCATTCCAAGTATCTGAATTTGTTATTCAATTTCAATTTAATTTCCCAGATTATCTATA